AGCCCCTTAGAGGGACATGGAGGACTACAACCCTAACAGCAGTGTTCCCCAACACATAATGAAATCCATTATGTTGTATGCTAACTAAAAAAATTAACAAAACACACAAAATTTGACTTCGAACATTTTTTTCCGGAGGCAGTCTTACTGTATATTCCAGACCTGGAACTCTCTATGTAGCACTAGCTGGCCTTGAACTCCTGGAAGTCCTCCTGTCTCAGCCTGAGTGATGAGGCATGAGCCATATGGCCTGGTTTTTATTTTTTAATAAATGAAATTCTTGATAAGAAGATGCCTCTTGCTCCCTTGGGAGGCCTTTTAAGCTTTACCAAGAAGCCCTCAGTCTGGAACTGGAGTTGCCCTGATGAATGCCGCATGCTGACCTAGGAGCATACCTTCTGATCTGAGAACACAGAGTTCACTCTAACCTTGCCTGTGGTTGGTAGAGTACCTAGGGTGGCAGAACCTGAGGGTCCCAGGCTGTGACCCTCAGATGAGGATAGCACAGATGAGGACAGAGTGGCTCTCAGAGCCACATGCTTCAGGCCTGGTTGGCAGTAGAAGTGGGTTAATTATCAATGTTACTCTTTCCTTTTTTCTCAGTGGTTGGAGTTTTAAAGAGCTCTCACTATAAGCAGTGCTGACAGAATGTAACTTTAACATCCAGATGGTCAGTCAAGAACTTCCTGTCCCAAAGAGCCAGGACAGCCACAGGTGCACCATCCATCCATTCAAACTACAGCTTGAGAATAACGTGGGTCCATCACTTGGATGTCTTGAGCATTGTGAAGAATGCCCACGATTCACAGTAATACATCATCAGGTCTGTGGTTCCCCATTCGATCCACTGCCTGTACAGCATAAGAGCCAGCATTTCCTCCCTCACATGCCCCACTCCAAGCAGACTGCACTTTCCCAGATCTTCTAATGACTCTGATGGAGACCTTGGCAGGGCAGAGGCTGGAACGATGGCTAGGACACCCCGGCTGGTGGAGCCAGCACTGGCTCCTCCTTGGCTTTCTTCCCAGTTGCTTCCTATATATAGTGCCCTCAGGACTCAGGTACAGGAGACTTGGAAGAGGAAACAAATGAGCTGAACCTGGCATTTACCCTGCATGACCCTTCATCCACTCCCTCATGGGGCTCCTGGCAACTACAAAAATAGCTGATAGCAGGGCCTCTGGCTCCTCTACCCAGTGCTGAAGGAGTCACTAGGGCTAGGCCTAGGAGGGAGGCAGAGGACTGGGATGCTGGTGCATATCCCTAGAGAAACACCTGTCACATGCCAGCTGGCATTGGAGACCCTAGAGGCCATGTCCTAGGAAAGGCAAGATGCTGACTCAAGGTCCAACAACCAAAGACAAGAAGGTGTGTCCCCCTCGGGGCTGATGAGCTGGCTCAGCGGTGAAGAGTACTGGCTGCTTTTGCAGATGGCCCAGGTTCGAATCCCAGCACCCACATGGCAGCTACCAACTGTTCTAACTCCAGTTCCAGGGGATCTAACACCCTTTTCTGACCTCCACAGGCATTGCACAGGCATTGCACTTACATATATGCAGGCAATAAACTTGTACACATAAAATAAAAATAACTGTTTTTTAAAAGGCGTGTCCCCACAGATAAGACAGTGAATGGATCACAATTAAGGATCAGATAGATTTTAATTAGAAGGTGGAGGAAGGAGAATTCCAAGTTTGAGGCCAGGCTAGGCAACACAGTGAGGATACCCCTCTTAAATTATTTTTTAATCCCCTCCCCACCCCCAGCACTCTCCCTTGGTCTAGAGCATCTGGGTGCTGACTTTGAGCAAACCACTTCAGCTCTCTCATAGCACTGCAGCACTTGATCAAGGATGGTTGTATCAAGGGCACAGAGTTTATGCACAGTCTGCTTTGAAGGGGTGATGCGTGTGCTTTGTTGTTTCTTACATGGAAATAATAGAAGAGTGTCTGTTATGTCCCCAGATGGCAGGACTGCCAGGTCTGGAGGAAGAGGCGCCATGCTGGGCCTCACGTGGACAGTCCAGAAAGCACCTGCTGAGGCTGGTGATGCAGCTCAAGAGTTCAGGGATTCTTTTCTCCTAAATATTGCTTCCCAAAATGTGGATTTAATTCTTACTGGAAGGTAGTGTTTGGTGAAATTTCCTCAATTTCACTCCAGGCCAAATTATGTATAAAATTTAGTTCAAATGGCTGCTAAGCTGGTAACATAAAACATGCAATGTTTCTATGGTGATTGCTAATTTAAAATAATTAGAGAAAATAATGAGAAAACTATTTCCTCTCTTAAGGATTAGAGATCCGTAAGCCGATACCAGTCTCCTTTTAGTATACATAATCTCTATAATGAAGATAGAGAATCAAGAGTACTTTAAAATGCTTTCAAAAGGTCTCTCTGATTGGAGAATTTAATCAACCTAGTACTTATACTAGAACTTATATTTGCTTTTATTGAATCGAAGTCAATGTCATGAGAAGAAAATTACTTGTGTATATGTTAATGTAATAATTTTAAGCAGAATGTTGTATTATGACCAAATTAAGATTTAAGACCTGTTTATGATCATTTGAGTGCCCTAATTTCACAACTCCACCCTGCTAATTCATCATTCAGAAATGGCTGCATGAGGCTTGCTGTTGAAGGTCTTAGAGGCAGGAACACATCGGGACATGTGAGCGTCACAGTTCAGTGCAGCTTCCACAGGGAGATGAGTGCTCACGGTGCCTCTCATTATTTCATGCCCATAATGAAACGCTGCTGCAAGGCGGACACAGTGTTGATGCATGTGCACACAGTTACTAACTTAGTCACGACATGCTATTTATTTCTGGTTAGCTAAGGTTATGTTTTAGAGAATTGAACAAATTGACTAGAAAGTTAAAAAAAAAAAGATCAGTTCTTTTCTTTTTCTAGCTAATATACTACCAAATGAGCAAGTCGCTCTTTGGGTTACCTTATCTCCCTATCAGCCAGGCCTGAGTACTTTTCAGGGGTCCTTAGCTAATCCCCCAGAGGGCCCACTCATCCTCTGAGGCTGGTAACTCTGGCTTCCAGGGGAGACACAGAGAGCTGGATTTTCCCAGGTCCCTCTCACCTCTGAATCCCTAACATTTTCAGCAGTAGCCAAAGTTCATCATGCAATCCTGAACAAATGTTTTTTAAAAAATGGGCTTTTAGGGACTGGAGAGATGGCTCAGCGGTTAAGAATACTGGTTGTCCTTGCAGAAGACCTGGGTTTAAATCCCAGCACCCACATGGCAGTAACTTAAACAACTGTCCATAACTCAAGACCCAGGGGATTCTGACTTTGGCGGGCATTGCATGACACAGCAGCACTTACCTACATGCAGGCAATACACACATACACATAAAATAAAAATAATAAATTTTTAAAAATGGGCTTTTAAAATTCAAGCTTCTGAAGTCTCCCAAAGTCGGGGTCTAAAAAAACATCTGATATCTTTCAAAGAGTAAATGAGAAACAGTTAACAGGTATAGGGGTGCTGTTTACAGGAGGCATAACTCCTCATGGTCTAGAGCACAGTTAGACAACTACAGTTGCTAACTGGATATTTCAAATTAGCTAGTAGAAAGGACTTTGTTCCAAACACAAAGTAGTGACATATGTCTGAGTGGGAGATATGCTTGATCCATTATTACGTATTGTGTGCGTGTTTTGAAATATCACCATCTATTGACTAAATATGTACAACTATTATGTGTCAGCTAGAAAAGATGTCAATGAAGAAATTGCATCTGAGAGAAATCAGTACATCTAGAGCTCCACGTCAGGTTCTGGCAATGGCAGGACAGGAGCCCAAGTTCTTGGCCTCTAACCCAGGGCTCTCCCTGCTGCTGAAATTAACACATGGAGAGAGACTGGGGAATCTGGGAATCCTTAGGAATAACCTATCAGGAAAACAGGCTCTGAAGGGAAGCTGTTTTTGTGTGGGAGGGAATGAGAGAACAGCACGGGGAGCCACACAGGCCTGTCTTCCCTAAAGGGTTGTACCTAAAGTCTGACAGTAGCCAAAGCTACTGTACATGGGGCTTGAAGAGAAGGCCTGGCTGCCATGCCACTTCTGAATGCCTGTGAGGCACAGTCAACTAGTTCCCAGGACTGGCAGGAAAGGCTCTTGTGCCAAGTCTGACAACCTCAGTTCAATCCCTGGGATCTACATGGTAGAAGGAGAGAACCCATCCTACAAAGCTGTCATCTGATCTCCAGACATACACTGTGGTATGTACCCACCCATATACATACGTACACACAATCAATCAATGTAATAAAATGTTTGCTAGGACTGGTGGTACTTGCCTTTAATCCCAGCATTCAGGAGGCAGAGGCAGGCAGATCTCTGTGTTTAAGGCCAACCTGGTCTACATAGTGAGTTCTAGGCCAGTCAGGTTAACAGGGAAACCCTTTCTCTTAAACAACAACAGCAGAAATAACAACAACAAAAACTAGTTCCCAAACCCGCCTGAGGATACGGAGCAACCATTACAATTTCAGATTCACAGGCAAATTCCCTGGGAGTTCCTGATTCTGTCTGCCTGGTGTGGGTTCTAGGAATCTAAAACCTTAATTAATGTTGAAAGTGATTCTGATAATTGATCCCATGAGGGAAACACATATAGAAAAGACCCAGTCCACACTTTTTGGAAAGGGTCTGATGGTACCTATTTTATGCATTGTAAGTCACACAGTCTTTGCTGAACTACTCGAATTTGCCACCAAAGCATAAAAATTATCATAGGCAACACATAAAAATGATTGTGTCTGTGCTTCAATGAAGAGCTACGGACAGATCATTTGTCCTGGGGTTCATTGTTTGTGTCCCTGCTCCACACCTAGAATATTCCACTGCTTTATTCATCCAATGCAAACAAACTCAAAGTCTATTTTCTCAAGGGGGAAGAGGTCTCTTCAGGTACAGGAAAAGTAGTCTTATTATTTAAAAATAAATGGATAAACAGAGTGAAAAAAAAAAAAAACTCACCAAAACACTAATGTCTCGAGGAACGAAATTCCAACACTGGATGCACCAACCACAACAACTCTGGCATTGATGCTTACTTTAGGTTCTAACGTTAGTTTTCTGTTTGTATGATACAAGGCATAATCCAGCTGCAAGAAAGCAAAGAGAAAGTGGAACATTTTGTTGCCAAGCAAATCCAGTAATGAACATGCAATGGCCACAGTAAAGTAGACGTGATGGTGTTTATGAAATGAATGTAACAACATGGTAATATGCCTAATTCCCAGGCTGAGTCCCCAAAAATGCTTACTTTGGATGTTTCTATCCTATTGTTGAGAGATGATTAGAGTTGGCAAGGTAAATAATCCTATAAGACAACAGGTTATTCCCTGAGAATTATAGTTGTGCTCTCCTTATCTTCAAAGTTTCTCAAAACTTTTGAGTGCAAATTAAATTGTTAGATACTTGAAGTTAAAGATTTTCTCTTATGGACTTCTACATCCTTCACACATCTCCTGTCTTAAGTATAACAGTGCCTTGTAGACAGTAGGTCCTCAGTAATTTGTTGAATGATAAACATTGACTGAATGGCAAAAATGTGTTGAATGATAAGGGCTATTTCACCAGTCTTCCAGATACCTCAGTGTCATGGAGGACTCTCAGAAGCACAGACAGGAACTGTGATCCATTTAGCACTTGTGTTTGCAAAAGTGACCCAAATAAGTTGTGTGGTTGACTTACTTTCCTGTAGAGGCTGGACAATGACAAAGGGAAGTTTCACTAGAAGGTGGGTATATATTTGGGGTGTGTGATGATTCTTGAAAGACTGGTATACTACATGCTGAAAGGTATTAGTTCTATTTTAAATTAATTACTTCAACCTGTACTTTATTTGGTGACTGTGTCTGAAGAATTATAAGAATTATAGGTGACTTCCCATCTGAAACAATAGAGATAAGAAACCAGTGGAATGACATACCAATATTCTTAAATCAGTAGAAACTCATCCTCTAGTCAGAAACCTTCACCCCCTAGTAAGTCAAGCCCAGTTTCTATTTTCTTAAAATCTTGAGCTCCTAGGAGTTGGGAGACCAGAATACTGATGGGAAAATCCTGTTTTAAATGAATTCCCACCCATCCTTTAGTATTTTAGGCATCACAGCCTTAGGCTTTGCCATTTACCAGGTAACATCTAGGGTGGGGAGGACAAACCCCCACCTCTATAGCTCTGGACAGTCTGGCAAAAAGGAATCAGAAAAATGTCTTGTTCCAAATAATATATTAATAAGGATTTGAAATGACATTGGGACATGAGAGATAATTGGGGCTTATTCTTCTCATAGTAATGGTAGAAGTGCAAGGAAGGCAGATGAAAATAAATGGTGCTTCCTGTTTCTGGTCAAAGCAAGTCATATGCCAGAGCCCAACACTCACAAGGTGGGTATTTATACTCAACTGTAATGATAGAAACCTTAAAGACACACAGCACAGGGCACAGCGTTTGGTCAGAATGAGGGAGCTCACTGCCTTTCCTTCATCATTTGGGCTATTTATTTCTTTAATATGTAATTGAAAACTTCCTACATTGATAAACTTTTTAAATGAAAATAATTTTTAAAAGTGCACATTCTTCAAATGTCAGTTTTACAAGAATTTCCCAGGCCAGATCAATGAGGAATTAGGCAAGACATCTAGTTCACACTGATCCACGTGGTTGTTCCAGGGTTCCACACTGGGTCATGTAGATGCTCCAACCTACTGTGGTCAGCTTAGTTTCCAAAATAATCAGGCTGACAGCAAGTCCACTTTACCAGTCTTGAGTTTGGTGGAAGTTGTTATGATGGCTTCTAGTTGAAGGTCTAATTAACAGATTTAAAATGCAAGCATTGCAACATAGGTAAGAAGCCAAGCTTCCTTCCATTAGCAGGTCCACTCAGGTATTCTCCTCCACCATCGGAAGTGTAAACTAGCACTAGCGATGAAACATGGGCAGTAATGAAATTCCCTGGTAAAGAATTAGACCTCATTTATGAAAAAGCTCCAGTATCACAGAGACAAAGGCAGCCGGGAACAGAGCAGAATGGCCTTTGTTTCCCACACAATAGCGTTAACACCAACAGCTGCCAGGCCTCAGAAATCACCTTTCTAACTGCTAAATATGCAGAATGGCTTCAGGGTGTCAAGAGTTTGTGATCAGTACCAGGTAGGGTTGGTGTCTCAGGAGAGTGAGCCAGTATCACAATGATGCCCGATTATGTGCCCAGGTTTTAATTAAAAACACATCCATTGTCAGATAGGAGGAAGTCTTCTGAACTGAAGGAAAAAGCCATCTTATTTTAATTAGTAGATATAGTTTTCAAGTGTCTTGAATTTAGAGAGCCTAGAGGTCTCTTTAGTGGAATGAAGACTACTTCTTTTGCTTTCCACCAGGGCTTGTTTTGCTCATAAGCAGGAAGCAGATCAGAATATTTTCCTGGGGCTGAGGAGATGGTGGTTAAGGAACTGGCTGCTCTTGCAGAGAACGTAGGTTTGATTCTCAGTAACCACATGGCATTTAACAACTGTCTGAAACTCCAGTTCCAGGGGATCCAACACCCTCTTCTGACTTCTGTGGGCACTGCATGACACAGGTACACTTACAGGCATGCAGCTAATACACTCATACACACACAATAAAAATTTTTAGAAAGAATATTTTCTTCTTTTATGTTCCTTCAAACTACATGCTTTCCTGGGAAAAGAAAAGCAGGTTTGTCAGATAGGGTGGTGCACACCTGTAATTCCAGTACTTGGGAGGCTAAGGCAGGAGGATCATGAGTTCTAGGGGAGTCTGGGCTCCACAATAGTGAGACCTTTTCTCAAAACAAGCAAAAAAACAGATATGGAAGACCCTCTGGGCCATGCTGGATTGTCTTTTTCTTAGAATGAGAATCTATCAAAAACACCTCATAAATAGGCTATTATATATGGGGCCTGATTTCTTCAATAATAAGCTTTAAATGAAAGTCTTATTGATATTTATTTTATTATTTTGGTTTTGGATACGGTCTCATGTATCCCAGATTGGTTTCGAACTCATTATGTAGACAAATATGATGATGAACTTCTGATCCTCCCACCTCCACCTCCCAAGTGCTGGAATTTCAGATGTGTGCCCACCACACCCATTTTTAAGGTAGTGCTAGAGATAGATCCAGGTCTATGTGTACCTAGGCAAGCAGTCTACCAACTAAGCTACATCTCCAGCCCCTTGACTAATATTTTAAACAAAGAAACTGAATGTGCCTAGTAGTGGTAAATTATTTCAAAAATAAACAGAAGGACTCTAAGTTCTTTGCCTACATGATGGTATAGCTGAGAAGTCAGAAGTCAGAAACTTTTTTTAACATTAAATAACGATTTCTCATTTTTAAAAATATTTTATTATTTTTATTTTATGTATATGAGTGTATTGCCTGCATGTAAGTGAGTGCACCCATGTTGTTCAGTGCTGTGGAGGTCAGAAGAGGGTTTTGGAGTCCCCTGGAACTGGAGTTAAGGATGGTTCGTAGCCGCCATGTGGGTGCTGGGAATTGAACCCAGGTCCTCTGCAAGAAGTCAGTGTTCTTAACTGCTGAGCCATCTCTCCAGTCCCGATTTCTCATTTTTATTTCCCATATTCCTTATTTTATGGTGTGAGCACAGGTATCGCTAAGATAACTCTCAAGACGTTTTCTTTGGGGGGGTGGGAACAGTCTCTGTTTGGTGAGTTTCTGATTTTTTTTTTTTTTTTTCTTTTTGAGACAGGGTCTCCCTGGCCTGGAACTTGCTATGTAGGCCAGGCTGGCCTCAATCTCACAGAGATCCACCTGACTCTGCCTCCTGAGTGCTGGGATTAAAGGCATGTGTCACTGTGCCCAGCTCTGATTCTGTTTTTCTAATAGTACTAAGTTAACATCTTAGACAAAGGGATGACTTCCAACATTGACATGATCATGTACTCTAACAAGAAAGAATAAGCATAGATCATGATGTATGCACTGACCTTTTAAACTGAAATGTTCCTTAAAATTGATGCTGACTCTGATAATGAGTTTAAAATATAAACTTTAAATTCCATCCCTGACGTAGGAAAAGGAGTGATACTATGGGAGACCCTGTAGGAAATTCTTGAGCTGAACTTGGAGGCTGGGGAAGGGGAGAGAGGCAAAGGATCAGCAGGGGAACACAGTACAGGCCGGATGGGAGCTGAGAAGGGAGCTGAGAAATTAGGAAGATAAATGAGCAAGTGTTTTAAGTATTAATCTCTGTGGGGACCTAAAGGCCCCACCTTGCAGAGGTCCGAGAGGAAGTTACTGGGGCGCGGACTGACTTGTTTTAAAAGTCTGAAGGATACTTCCGCACTGCTGAGGAGTGCATGATCAGCTCGTGACCATCCTTAAGATACACCCTCAGGGGGAAGGGGGATTTCCAGATGTCTTTATAAGCTCTGTAACACCTGTAATAAATGAGTCCCTGCTTGAATAAGCTCCCAGTTATGCCTGAGTGTTCGCTTGAGTGTTCCTGGTACTGGGGGTGGCATGGGCTGGTGAAAGGCACGCTTACTTATCCCCAATTATCACTGTTGCTGGCTCGAACACCCCCCCCACCCCCACCCCACCCCACTCCCACAAATCTCTTTATCACTTCCTGTGAGTGCCTCTGAACAGGAGACTGGATGTGAGTGTGATGAGTCACTAGGAGGAATTTTTGGTTGATTAAAAAGATTGTGTGTGTGTGTGTGTGTGTGTGTGTGTGTGTGTATGTTTGTGTAGCCAATCTCAGGTGTGGTTCCTCTGGCACTGTCCCCCATTTTTTATTATTTATTTATTTATTGATTGATTGATTGTTTATCATTTAAGACAAGGATTCTCGCTGGCCTGGAACTCACCAAGTAGGTTAGGCTGGCTGGCCAGTGAGCCCCAGGGATCCCCCTGTTCCTGCCTGCCCAACACTGGGCTTGAAAATGCATACCACCATGTTTGGCTTTTAGGTTCTGGGGGTGGAACTCAGGTCCTTGGGTTTGCAAGGCAGGGACTTTACTGATGGAGATATCTCCCTAGATCTCATGAGCCCTCTTGTAGGGTGCTGACATAATTGTTCAAAAAATTGTTTTAGTTGGTTCTTTTTC